AATTAGATTACGCGTTCCGCTACGGTTTCGTTTGCTAGTATTAGGAATATGTTCATTATAACACGAAGCGCTAGACTGCTGACCTTCGAATTCATGGTAAGATGTAATTCTTACTGGTAAAGTGTTTCGTTCTGGTGTGATTATAGTGTTGTTACTAGCTGCGAGAGGGATCTCCAAGTTTATTGCAATGTGCGACGGACAAACTCCAGGTAATTCAACCAGTCTGCCTGCTGGCTGAATAGCGACCGAAAAACGTATGCCGGTTCATCTTTCCTGTTTCATTCCTTTGAGTCTGGCGTGAGCGAGGCGCATGTGTCGAGTAATTAACAAGTAGGGGCAACCGTCCTATCCAATCAAGGGGTTCGGCCCCACTTCGAGATGTATGCATGGGGTTACTAACTGTCGCGTTAAGCGTTTCAACCAGAGGTAGGCGGGCCAACCATTTCAAAGATCCAGTCCCACTTGGTGCCGGCTGACTTTCGCCAGTATTAGCACAATTAAGGTTTGAAATATGTTGTACATTCTGTTTATTTCTTGGTTTTGGCTTCACACAACTGACATTTGATTGTGGGCGAAAAACAGCTTGGGAATGTTGATGGGAATTACTTTGTTTTACAGGACTGACTAAGTTGTATATTGTTAATACGACAACGGGAAAGGTGAGAGGACAGATTGAGAAGACAATATTTGAAGGAATAAAGGTGCAAAAGTTTATCAACATTCCTTACGCTGAAGCACCGGTGGGAAAGTTGAGATTCATGAAACCTGAACCTAAAAACTCATGGAAAGGTAAGGAAATAAATTAATGCAAGCAATATTTAAAGAGAGACATGATTAATTGAGGTACACTTCCACTATAAACAACCATATCGTTTGTTTGATCGATCAGTCAGTGTAGAAAATATTTAATTTTCGATCTACAGCGAAGCGTGCTCAAATTCGCAAGCCAGGCGCGCGTGGAGTCCTTTCCTTGCAGATGAAATATGATCCAGCTTCTCGCTTGAAATGTACTGCAACACTTATTATATTGATCACATTCAGTATAGCAGGAAGTCGTGTTATGATAAATACGAATTTAGAACATTTCTTTCACGATTTCTTGTTGCAAATTACATTTTTATCACCCGAAACTATAACACATAAAGTTGCAACTTTCCAACCGTAACAAATCTGGGGGCCACGTGACAATTAAACTTCGATCAAGGTTTTTCCTCCACAAAAAAGGGAAACGCCTGGGAATGAGGTTGATGATAGGTAGGTAGCACATTTGAAATTTAATTCGTGCATGCATTCCTTGATTGACGAGCCATACAATAATGTTAATTCAATTATTCATTTTCATTTCTAATTTGCATATTATCCTTGTATTTCCTGGACATTAATTAGGAATTTTGAAAACACCAAAAGATCCACTTGCTTGTCCCCAAAGCGCTGACGTTCCTTTCATACAGTCCGAAGACTGTCTAGTTGTTCACGTATGGACTCCACATCCAAGACCGAAAGGAGCTACAGTTATGGTAATATTATTTCTTCAAACGCTTAGTAATAATGTATTAATTAGGTAAAGTGTTTAAAACCGCGTGTCTGGATGTGTACCAAGCTGCACTGATGAGGCGTAGGACGCCGAAACATGCATGCCATATATATATATATATATATATATATATATATATATATATATATATATATATATATATATATATATATATATATATATATATATAT